GGCACAGGGGGGAGGTGAGAATTCAGGGCAGCTGAGGGACCAGCAGGAGTTACACTGAGGGCTGTGAGCACACCTGGGAATGTCCTCTCAGTGCCAACGTGACCTTGTTCCAGCCAGTGTGTGCTCTGGAGCAGTGGGAATTATCTCACCTTCCCTTTTATTTGCTGTTTAGTTATATTAAATGGTTAATGTTACTGTATTACTAAAATAGATTTTCAAAAGGGAAATGAACATGTAGGAGGAACCCATTGTAACACAGTGTCGATGTCACACACAGGTTTGAGGGTTTTTTTAAACAATCCCATTTTCAGTGTTCTGATTCCTGGTGAATTGAGGGACTTGGGTCTGTTTAGTCTGGAGAAGAGCAGAGTGAGGGGGGATCTGATCAACACCTATAAATACTGAAAGGGTGGGTGTCAGGAGGATGGGGCCAGGCTTTTCTCAGTGGTGCCCAGGGACAGGACAAGAGGGAACGGGCACAAACTTGAATATTAGAAGTTCCATCTCAACATGAGGAGGAACTTCTTTCCTGTGAGGGTGGCAGAGCCCTGGCAGAGGCTGCCCAGAGAGGTGGTGGAGTCTCCTTCTCTGGAGACATTCAAACCCCCCTGGACACGTTCCTGTGGGACCTGCTCTGGGTGACCCTGCTCTGGCAGGGGGTTGGACTGGGGGGTTTCCAGAGGTCCCTTCCAACCCCATGTCATTCTGGGGTTCTGTGAACTCTGAGGTGCTGGTGGGCTCCCAGGACCTTTGTGTCCCTCAGCTGAAGCGTTACCTTTATTTGCAGGCGCATTAGGTCAGCCCCTCACAGAGACACGGTGCCTGAGCAGAGGCTGTTCTGACACTGTGGAGACAATGTAATAACTATATGTCTTTACAGAAGTAAAAATATGTATATAGAAGTATTACTAAGGACGCTGTTATTTTCTTTCAGCTCTTCATCTGCCAGTACCACATCTGGCTGGCGGCAGACACCAAGGGCATCCTGGTGCTCATCCCCGGGTACCCCATGTTCAACGTCCTGGTCAGCACTTTCATATTCGTGTGTGTGGCACACGAGATCTCCCAGATCACCAACGACCTGGCGCAGATCGTGGTTCCCAAGGACAACTCCACTCTGCTGAAGAGGCTGCTCTGTGTAGCTGGGTTCTTTTCGGGACTTCTCCTCTTCTCAGCGACCCAAGAGCAGGCGCGGCATTAACCTGAACAGATTCTGGGGAACTTTCTTCAGGTTTCCTGTGCGTCTGCCTGAACCGGAATTGTCAGCTGGAGGTACAAGGAGACATTTAAATTATGTGTGTGGAAAAATGTATATAGTGCAGATGTACATATTGTGTGTGGAAACGGCCTTCTCGAGTCGCCCGAGGGATGAGAATGCACTGGACAGAATTGCATGTGAAAACGAGTCTTTTCTACTGGATTTGTGTTTACAAACCCCTCTGGAGGTGGCACCAGGAGGAGGAGTGGTTTAACCCTCCCGTGTGTGTCCCGGGATCCCCGGGGCCGAGGAGGGGGAGTTTGGGTGGCTGTGGGGAACGGGGCTGTCACCCTCCCCAGCCGGGACAGGAGGGGACCTGGGATCCCTGCCCGGGGGGGCTGCTGGCCCGGGGCAGGCTTTGTTTAGAAATGAGTATTTTGGGTGGACATAGTATGCCTTAGATGAACCCCTTTATACGTGGAAATAAGAAATCGTCACCAGTTCAGTCATTTAAGATTATATACGAGTTTACATCATGTTTTATGGGGGTTTTTTTTAGGAATTTAAGATGTTTTCAGCAAATAGGGTGAATTCTGAGGTGAAATTTTTTTATAAAGAATTTTTTTTTTCCCTAAAATAGTTTGCTTTTCCATACATTTTTCACCACTTGATTTAACACTGTACAGTGCTCTGTAACATCCCAGTGAACAAGGGTGAGTGATCTTTTCAGAGACTCGGCTCAAGGTGGAGGGGTTTTGGGAGAGCCCCCGCTCTCTTCCAGCCAGAGGCAATCCCGTCAGGTGTGAAGGATGTGGGAGAAGAGGGGGACGGCGATGTCCAGCCTCTCTCTGAGCTTGTAGGTGGCCTTTACTGGGTGTGACTGGGGAACCGGTGCCATATTCTACCCTGGGATGATGTTTTTGTGTAAGAGGCTGCGAGTGGAGGCCGCGGGTCCCTGGTGTTATGGGGAGGGGGTGAGCCCTCACCCTTGTTACACAGCTCAGAACTGCACAGGGGATGAGATGGGAGCTGTTTGGAGGAACCTCCTCTCCAGCAGAGCCCCTCTCTCTGTCTTAGCAGCTGAAAGTGCCAGCAATAGCCCTTCCTGGGGGGCGAGGAGCTGGGATTTACCCCCCCCTCACCCGGTGACATTAGGTCATTTCTTTGGTGGGTTTGCTTCCAGTGATACTTTGACCTCTCGTTGCTTTCTCACTTCATTCCTCTGCTGGTTACCTGTTGGCGGTCAAAACCACGAGCACAGTGTTGTTTTCCAGTGTATGTGCAATTATGTGTGATTCCAAACAATGAGAATCCCAATCTGTACCAGATGGGCTGTCGTGGGCATTGTTTCAGCCCAGTTAAAAATGGAATTCAAACTTGCAGCCACCAATGAGTGCAAAAAAAAAATTATGTAAAGAACAGCTTCGATTATGTTTCTTTGGTGGAGAATCAGGTTCCTGTAAAGAATGACCAGTCACTCATCATGGAAAAGACAAAACAAATCATTGGCTTCCCCCAGATTCAGCAGTTTCACTAATTCTAATTCTAATTTTGAAGCCACTGGGAGGAGGCTCAGCCCGTGAGGTGTTTGTGTGTGAGTGCCCGGGTGTGGGACGTGTTACCCCCCCAGCAGGGCAGCCCAGGGGCTGAAGGACGCGGTGACCGTGACCATGGGGTGGGACAGGACCCAGGACCTTCATCTACGCCAGTATTAGGAGCAATGGGGGATGGTGAGTTCCAGGGATAACTTTTGTTTTGTTCTTCACAACTTAAGTATTGTAGATATAATGTTATTTATCTGTTGTACAGACTCGGTCAAAAGATTTATTTTTAATGTTGGAAATAATGCACTTGTTTACTATGACTGTACGTGGGATAAATATATTTTCTTTTCAGGTTATGTAAAAATATGATGTAATTTAAACATGAAATAAATGTGCTGTGGATGCTTATTTTTGTAATGGGAGAGGCATCAATTAAGTAAAGACTCGTTATTGCTCGAGTTCCCTCTTGTGCCTGCCTTCAATCGCAGCCGGGGCTCCGGAGGGGGATTTCGGGGCAGATGCTCACTTGTATGGTGAAGGGGGTCAGATGTGATGGAGAGAGATTCCTCTGCAGTAACTCCTACTGTCCCAGCTCTGAGGGAATTGAAGCCAGGTCCCCCCCCAGGAGCTGGGGCTTCAGCAGAATCCGTGGCCCCCACGGTGTGGTGAGTACTCTTTCCCCCGGGGTTACAAGCCCAAAACCACGGCCACGCTCTGCATGAACACTTGGCCTTCCCCAGTGTCTGGGTGAAGCCACTGAGCTTTTGATTTGGGAATTCCAGTCCCCCACAGAAGAAGGGGCTCCTCAGCCAAAGCATTTAGGGGCACTTCCTGTCCCAAAAGTTCCTCGTGTCACCAGGAAGACACCACCTGAGGTGGGCACCTGAATTCCATGGGGCACACGCTCCCCAGCCTTCCCAGTCCCTGCCTCCAGTTGGGTGTCTCCCCCAGTTACACCCAGTGAGCTCCTCCTGGTCCCGACACACATCCCCGGGGGTGGCAGAGGTGACAGGAGGCTGTGAGGTGCCCCAGGCGCAGTGACCATGCGGAGGCGGCTGCAGAACCCTTTCCTCTTTATTCTCAGCTGTTACAGGTCAGTATTTACAAAGGTGGGGTGGTGCCTGCTGGGTACCCGGGGTCCAGGTGTCCCTTCACCAACACACCCTGGGGTCACGCTCTCACTGCACCTCCTCACTCCAGGCTGTCAATTTACACCTTTAACTTCCAGCACTTTTAACTATTTCTGTAGCCGTTGAGTGTCATTAGGCAGCTGCATACAGCCAGGCTGCTGCAGGTCTTGCTTCAGTAAGTAAAATAATTTGTTATTAAACACATCTCGGATAAACAGTGGTTTCAATCACAGAACCCTTGGGGGGTGTTTAATCCCCACCAGCATCAGGCTCTTTTCGGAGCAGGTGAAGCTCCCGCGGGGACAAATGGGCTCTTTTTGCAATTACAGGTCAGGAAATTTCCATCAATCTCTTTGTGCTGTTACACATTAACACAAAGGAGAGAGCAGCTCAAGAGGGACCCCAGGGATTGTCGGGAATGGGGATGATCCAAACCCAATAGTAGTTACAAAGTTTAGGCTTACGTTGCATTAAACAGCATGATTTAAAATCCATTCCATTCATTTCTGCTCCGAAGCGCTGGGAAGAGGAATAGAAACCAAATGCTGATTCCACTCGGATCTGTCACAGCTTGGATAAAAGATGGACATTGTTCATTTCCTCCCAATCCCAGGGGCAGTTTTCTCACTGGCTTTTCACTGGTCCCCACCCAAAGCTGCTGGGAGCAGGGGGTGGCTCCTGGGGCCAATTGAACCATCTCCTCCGGTACCTTCTGGGCCCCAGAAGGGTCTTTATCCCAACAGCTTCAAAAACGTGACTTTGTTCTTCAACTGCCAGGAGTGGGGCCTGAGCCCCCTCTCCCCCAGACGAATGAACGGACAGATTTTAAACGGTTTCTTGCTTACAAGGTGTCAAATTGGGTCAAGAAACAGAAATCCAATTTTCAACAGGAATTGAATGGACAGATTTTAAACAGTTTCTTGCTTACAAGGTGTCAAATTGGGTCAAGAAACAGAAATCCAATTTTCAACAGGAATAGTTTTAGGTTTTCCTTTGGGTTTTTTTGTTGAGTTTTTTTTTTTCTCAAAAACTTTGTTACATTTTGAGAGTCTCCACAAAATCCATGCCTACTAAAGCTGGGATAATAAAGCCTCATCCCACTGCCCAGGTTTTGCTGCTCAGGTGGAACTGTGTGACAGGTAAGGTGGGGCAGTGCCATCATCTGTCCCACCACGCTGAACCCCTCCTCCAGAAGCTTTGATTTCCCCGGGAAAGCTTCCAGGAGAGATCCCAAGACAGAACAGAGTCGAGTATTTATCCATACGTAGAGTTGAGAGGTTACTTTCTGAATGTAACAGATATAAAAAGTTACCGGGGTGTTTACAAATTGTCCATCGTGTCCGGTACAAAGGGCTGGAGTCCCTCAGGGGTCGGGGGGTCCCTCGGGTTTCGGGGGGTCCCAGGCTCCGTCACTGCACCACCCGGTGCTGCAGCCCGACACTCTGCATCCCTGGGGGGGGGGGGGAACGGGACCATTCGCCGCCTTCTCCCATCACAAAGTGATGGCGTCCGTCAGCTTCCGCTCCTCAGGAATACCATTTACCTGCGGGGAGAGCAGAGGGTCGTGCCCTGTCCTGGCTCCAGCCACACTGAGCACAGCACACGCTGAGCATAGCACACGCTGAGCACAGCACACACGGCACCCACCAGGCCTGTGCCCACACCCACAAACACAACCCAGAGCAAAACACAACACTCACACCAGAAAGCTTGGCTGGTTTGCTTCTGGGACGGGAGAAATCTGGGAAAAGATGGTTTAACTGGGAATTTCTCTTTCTATTCAGGATCCACCAGGGTTCCCAAGGAGACTGTGAAGCTCCAAATGTAGAAAAGCAGTACAGGGTGCACGGGTACCATTTGGTCTTTGCTGTTATAGGAATATCCTACAAACCCTTCCGTCAGCACCTTCAGACAGTCCTCATGGACTCATTCACACAGAGACCATTAGAAACCTTAACTCACCTTTCCCTATTGGAGACCAGGGTAACATAATATATACAATATATATAACATATATAATATATATAATTCTGTCCCAAGTAGAGTTTAACTGTGTGAAACAGGGAGCATTCTCTCAGCTACTAAAGCTGCATTTTCATATAAGGGTTAAAAACAACCTGTTTCTTACTGGGAAAACATCTGCTTTCCCCCTGATTTCTGAGAGCTCGTCCCAGGCAGCGCCTGTGATGAATGTGACAGAAGAGGTGTCTTCTCCCAAAATAAGGCACTACAGACACACAGCCACGGCAGGGCTTTGAAACTCTTTCTGGCAGCTCTTCAGAGCGACTCCCAAGGCACAAAACAAGCCCAGCCAGCGCTGGGGGCTCTGGGGGGAGACCACCAGGACCATCTGCCACTTCCAGTCCCTCCACAGATAGATACAACCAAGCACACAGAGCACACCAAGCTGGCACAGCTGCACCCAGGTCTCTTCGGTGGCTTTTTTTTAATGTGTTTTCCATTTCCAGAGAACGAAAGACCCGACCACAGGGGCAGGAGCATCTGTTATATACTTGCCTCAAATCTTTGAAATGTTGTCATACGAAATTCTCCTTTAATCCCCGAAAGCAGTAATGAAGAAGAAGGAGTTGGAATGAAAAGAGTTGCTTTTGTAACCCCCAAGTTAAAACACGTCTGCCTCTTGGAGCTGCAGCTCCCAAATTATGTTCAATACATATAAATATAGAGAGTTCTGCCTAAATATGGCTTTAAATATTCAAAAATGATACTCTGGCCTCTACATTGTCCTTGCACCGTCCTTATCCCCTTGTTCAATCAATCCCATCCCAAAATTTTCCCTGATGTATGAAAACTGTCTGGAAGGACAATGCTGTGAGACTTCACTAGATTGAGAAGGGTTCCCCCTGCCCGTGCCGTGACCAGGGACTCCTCAGTGCTGGTCACCTCGTGTCCCCGTGTGCCCCCAGGACTGACCTGCGCTCTGCTGCTGCGGGATCCGCGTCTGGTGGGGCAGGTTCCTGCAAAAAAGCAATTTCATACCTTTAGTGCTTCCACACAAAGGCTGGAGGGTGTATCATGTCAATGTTCAGCATTTAAACTTCACTTTTCTGCTCATGAAGCAATAATCCATTCTCAGTGTGCAGATGGTCAGCCAAGTCAATGAAAGAAAGAAATGAGCGTTTCGGGGTAGGTCCTGTTATTTCACAGGTCAACTGGGTTCAAAGGCCCAGAGCTGGTGCAAAAGCAAAGGTGACAAGAGTCCCCAAAGCTCTCTGACCTCATGCAAAGTCCCGTTTCCTCAAGTGAGGAAAAGAGAAAAGGTCTTTGCAACTTAATTCCTGCCCGTGGAATGACTGACTGACTGCCTGCCCAGCAGGTGTCACACATCACAACACATCCCTCACCAAGGCAAAGCTACACTTTTGTGTCCTGCAAAAGTGTTTTTCTCCCCAGGAACAGGCGATGGGACAAGAGGAAATGGCTTCACATTGTGCCAGGGGAGGTTTAGGATGGATATTGGGAAAATTTTTACACTGAAAGGGTTATTAAGGATTGGAATGGGCTGCCCAGGGCAGTGGTGGGTGCACCATCCCTGGAGGTATTTAAAAGCCGGGCAGATGTGGTGCTGAGGGACATGGGTTAGTGATGGTTTGTGTCAGTGTTGGGTTGATGGTTGGACTCGATGATCTGAAAGGTCCCTTCCAACCCAGGCAATTCTGTGATTCTAAAAGAAGTCTTCCTTGGGAAGTGTGTGTTTCCTGCCTGGGTAAAGGAATAAGCATTTCTGGTCAGTGCTAACACTCCCAACAGCACTCAGGTACCCGTCACACATGCTTTAGTGCTTACAAAGTCTGGATTTTCTGGTATGAAACTACCAACCGGGTGGTAGTTTTATAGGAGAACTCCAAAGACATGGGTTAAGGGGCAGGGTGTCTAAAACAGATCACTTTGCAATGATTCCTCTGTCAAAAGTAGCTTTTCCTCCAAAATACACAGCAATATAACTGTTCCACCTGAAGTTTCTTTGCTGTTTGAAACCCAGCCATTTAATTCTATCACAGAAGACTGACCTTTCTGCTTGAAACGCCAACGGCAGAGCAACCAAACCCCAGAGCCACCACCGATACCTCCCTAACAAACCCATTCCGGACGACAGGCACTGGGATCCCTAGTTAATGAGGGATAAAAGAATAAAAGACAGGCTGGAGACTCACTGCTGGGTCTGCATGAGGGGCATGCTGGTGGGCTCGAAGCTGTCGGCGTGAAGGGCCGGCACGACCTCGCCGGTGCCGGGGTGGAAGACGGGCAGCGTGGAGAGGGGCCAGGCCATCTCCCTGTTCTTGGACATGTCCCGCAGCTCTTTGGTGGACTTCTGGATCGCGCTGTGGTGCACCAGCTGGATGCTGCGGCAGAAGGAACACAGCAGTGAATACATACCTTAAATGCTCCATCAAAACGGACAGGCTTTTGCCATTACTGTTTTTCTTAAAAACACAAGGCCCTCGATGCATGCTCTAGTGCAGCGACTGCAGTACACTTTTACATAGCTAATTTAATAAGTATTGGATTTATTTCATTTTTAAGGCAGTAATTATTCCATTAGATTTTGCTGGCTAGGTAAGGACTTTTCACAGGATCCCAGACTGTGCGATTTGCTGCTGGCGTTCCATTTATTTGCTGCTGTTACAATAAAGCTTTGGTTGACTCCTGATTCTTGGGGTAGATTGGTAAAAACTCACAGACTGATTTTAGAAACACTCCATAGACAGGCACCGGGTACCTGCCAGGCTATCTGTTCTCCTCTCCACTGCCTTAAGGTATAGGCTGGGAAGTCCAATAACCAGGAGTATAAATTCCATATTAACATATTTTACTCTAACAGCACTATTTTATTTTGAATTGACAGTCATTAATTTCAAACCCTTTTTATTCTGGTCTTCTATCCTTGCCAAGACTCTGATTTAAAAGCAGCTTTCACATTTATGAATTAAACCATGGATTAGAGAGAATGAGAGAAGATTATGACACACATGTATGAAGCATGACGAGCTACTGAGAATGAAAATTAGATGGTAAAAGAAAAATAACAGGAAAGAAGACACTTACTCTGGTGTTTGCATGTTTCTCTTTTCCCTAAAAACAAAACAAAATTTATGAATTAAATAATAGCATTGATAGTTGGAACATTAAATCTGTCTGATGGTGAGGACAGTCCATGGTGTGGAAATGCTGCCAAGGTGACTGCTCACCGCAGCTTGGCGGCATTTGGAGCTGGATGGAGGCAGGAAGAGAGGTGTGAGACTGATGGCACACACAGACACACACACGGAGATGAGAAGGCAAGTTAAAGAACAAGCTTCTGGCTAAAATAAATTCCGTGACAAAATGGAACTGTAGTTTGTGTAAGAAATGGCAGAAACTGCGTTACTTGCTGCTTTCCTTTTATGTGCTTTTCTTTTATGATACGTCTAAATTCAGTTCATATCCTCAACCAGAGTTATTTTCTAAGTTAGCATTTTAGAAGTTACTTAATGTTTTCCTGAATCGACGATCCTTTATTAGTATTTTATTTGTTTGGGGCATTTTGGAGAGTTGTGCACACGTGGAGATCTGTGGAGTTTTGTGGGTAGGCTGAGATTTTTAACCCTTTCAACTGGAGCAGTTAAAGGCCCTGTTTCACCTCCCTGGGAAATCACTGCATGTGCTTAGATGAGACACGCTTCAGTGTTTCAAGCGAGTATCTTCTGGCCTGTTTTAAATGTTTTTAATGAACTGAATGGAATTCTGCTAACAAACAGTCTTCTGTGCGTTATAATCTTAAAAAAAAATAAAAAATCTACAATTAGTGATTATTGTGTTAAAGTACTCACACTCCTTCCCGTCGGCAGCACATGATATAGGCAAGGATTAGGAACAGCACCAGTGCTACTGCCGAGGGCACGGCCAGGGTAACGAGGAAATCCGAGTAATAGTCTCTGCTCTTCAGGGAGTCAGAAGGGGGCTTGTACTCCCCGCCATCGGGCAGTATCCCCTCGCCACGAACCACCTCCTGAAAGGTGGACACTTGCTTTGTGTTGTCAACCTGGTGGCCAGGGGAAAAAAAAAAAAAAAAAAAGAAAAAAAAGAGACAATTATATATCAAATGAACAGAGTGTAAAAGCAGGCAGTGTTCACCCAGCCATTACACATAAAACAAACCATGTCACACACTTGACAAATTCTGCCCAATTTCACCCTACCACTTTTTTAAACCAATAAAACTTTGCATTTCATTGAAAGCTTCTCATCAATTCAGTAATACCACCTTTTATCACATTACTCCTTTATTTTGTGCCTACCAGCGATACTATGTGTTTTACAGATTAATTTTAGGGATCTCTCACACAAGCACTGCATTTCATTGAAACCTTCTCATCAATTCAATAAGAAATACCAATTTTTATCACATTCCTACTTTATTTTGTGCCTACCAGAGATACTATGCGTTTTAAAGATTAATTTTAGGGATCTCTCACACAAGCAGTATTTGAGTAAAAATGCTGTAAACATTGATTATCTGCTACTGATGTCTTTTGGCAGAATTAATGCATTTCCTCCTGGTCTTCCTCAGCAGCTCTACTGCCCTCTCCCGTGTGAAGGTGGCAGAGATGAAGACTGGAGGTGCTTCTGCATTTTTTCCTTCCTACCAAGCTCCACATCCAGTGCTCAGAAAAGCAAAGTCTCCAGATCACTAATGAAAATAAATTATATTTGGCTACATGCTTGACCTTTTGCCTGACTGTTCATCGAGAAATCTTGCAATTGATGGTAATTTCTCTATAATTTACACTTTAAGTCATAAAATACCGTATTAAAACTTAAGTAATGGATGAAGAGGTTTCATGGAAGTCTAGAAATAGTATTATGTTAAGCTTCAAATGCATACAAATGTATATATATATTATAGTATCTATAATATAACATCAGTTAACGTAAAGTGCGGTTTGACAGAAGTTAATTTATGTATTCTTGACTCATTAACTTCTGCAGTATATGGTAATATACTGAATTATGGATTCTACCTGGCTGCTCGGCTGAATCTCAAGCCTGAAGCAGAGGCACAAAAAAAGAAGAGTGAAGGTGCTGCTGTGGGTGAGAGAGGCCCATGCACAGCGTGGAAAAGCAGCTTTAAGAGGGAACAGGGATAAGCTGCCCCTCCTTCCCGTATTTGGGACCCACAAGCTTAAGTCTACTCTCTGATTTGGGTGCTAACCCCCCCACCACCCCATAAGGAGTGGGAGGAAGAGGATGTGCTGGCTGTGTTCTCACTCGCTGCTCCCTGCTGTGGCTGGGGGCAACGGAGCCCACCCCCTCCCAGCCCCTGCATCCTGGGGGACTCCCTGCCCCTTGCCTTGGGAAAAGCAAGCTGGGATGAGGCGGAGGGAAGCCCAGCTCTGTCCTCCCTTTGGACTGTCCCAACCTTAAGAGCACCTGCCAGATGGAAAACAACGTCCTTCACTCATGGAAAAGCAGAATTGGGCAGAGCTGGCTGGCTGGGCTGGCAAAACTCCTACCTAAACCACACCTGGCATATAATATTGTGCTTCCACAAACGTCATTTTCATGCAGCGATGAACTCACCAGGGAGATCTTACACCAGTCGATGTGGAACTGTGTACGGAACTTCTTGTCGCAGGTGATGAGGGGCTCCATTTCCTGGCTGCACCGCAGCTGATTTTGGGGGTTTTCCACCTCCCGCAGGCAGGAAGAGAAGGGGACATCTGCCCCGACCATGACATAGACCCTGCAGGGGGACACGTGCCAGACGTCAGGACATCCCCACGGGACCATGATGGTGTGATTTGGGAACTACCGAATACTCAACAATGTCAAACGGCTGCTCAGAAGTAAGACTGCGATTACAAAATCAGCATACTTACTACCAGTTGTTTCATAATTAATGGAATTCATCAGTATTCCTTGGATTATAAAATCAATCCATAGGAACTGTCACCTCCTGAAATGGTGTGTGCCCTGAGAAGCCCACGGTATAATGGGGGCTCTGAACATCAGGAAAACTTTTTGTATCTCGTACCAATCTGGATTTCCAAAATAGAAAACAGCAACTGCAAAGTTTCTAGAAAACCTGAAAAAATATTAAGCTTTTAAGAAAAAAAAAAAACGTAAAGCAAAGCTGTGCTTACCCCTCCTTCATGTCGTTGATGGGGAGGGGGACTCTCCCTCCCCTGTCCAGGGCCGAGGTGATGTTGATGGCGTTGAGGCGTTCCGGCTGCCACACGTTTTTCACCGCCCCCAGGAAGTCTCCGAGAACCTCACTGGCCAACATCTCCTCTACGTTCATGTTCCTTATGAAGAACTCCGCTTGATAGGGCAGAGGGAAATCTGGTTGGGGTAAAAAAAGGAAGAGTTTTGCCTTAAACAAAGGCTCCCTCCCAGAGAATTTGCAGGCACTATTAACGTAGCACCACTGTAAGATGGACGCACCTTTCCAAAAATCTTATAATTGAACCAGCTCATTTTTCAACCTAGTGTGATTATGTTTAATTAAATAATTAGTACTATTAGCTGTTATTTAAGCTGAAAACCACTGGCTATTTATAAAGCAACTGGGAGATGACAGAGCAGACTGAAGAAGAGTCTCTGTTGGTAAAACTTCATTAAACAGATAAAATTACCCTCATGCTAACTTTGGGGATCAAAACTGATCTGCAATGACAATGGATCCCAACCTGCAATATAAATATATAAATATGACTATAAATATGCAAACATGATGAAGTGAACTAATTTTGAGGATACAAACTATTCTACTTTTTTTAATTGCAATATCCATATGTGCAATAATCTGTTGTTTTCTGAATCTGCCAGTAGGATCGGTCTCTGCGTAACAAAGATGCAGAGAATAAAATCCTTCATGCAAGGTTTGTTTGAAAAGACAGGAGAAAAAACTGTAATTATAAAAAATTTAGATAAAAATAACAAATTGAATCAAAAGAGAGAAAACTCCCTTACTTCCCCTTTGTATCCTCACATTTGGCTTGAAGACCAGACAACTTTTTACATTGATTTTTTAAACTTGAAAGAACAGGAGCCCATGAGATGGCTTTGCTCACTCAGTGCAAAACCCAAGAGGCTATTTTCTGTACGTACCTTCTGCTGACATTATATTAATGATCAAATTATGTCTTGCTGTCTCAAAGGTACGCCTGTTGTATGCAGTGATCTGGGGGAAAAATAAAAGATGTGATTGCAAAACAACAGTGAAAATATGAAAATCAGGTAAATGAAACATCAATGAAAATTAAGTTGATAATTTAGAAATTCATATCGCCCTTTTAAATGCTTTGCCTCTTTATTTTGAAATGTAAATTTAAAATGTGAAAGGTATGATCCATTTATTTCATGCGGCACTACCTTCAAGTGAGGATACTGAAATTCTCTTGACCAGTCTATAGTAAAATACAAGTATCCAAGAGATCTATGTGAATATAAAGGCTATATCCACATTCACATATATCCAAGGGTGTATGTGAGTGTGTCAGTGGTGACTGCACTCCAAAGTTGTACTGTGATTACATATTCATTCACAACAAATACAGAACGAGGCTGGAGAGCATAATTAAGTAGTATTTTCTTGACTTTTTTTTTTCTCCTGAGAGGTGATAAATCTTTCATGAACCAAATTGCAAAAGACTAAATTTCTTCCTCATTTCAATCTTTAGTTCGTTCATTTCAGCACCGAAGGAGAGCCAGGGGAGCAGCAATAGTGACAGAACTCTGCTGCTTTTCAGCAAACAGAGCTCCAAAGCACCGTGACACTGATCATTAAACAAAGTCATACATGTTGCACCTCTTTTAAGGGATTTAAATGACAAAAAAAAAAATGCTCTGGAATATCTTCTGCAGGTTTATTTAAGTGTAGAGGGAAAAGCTTACCTGACGCCGTTACATCTTATGTAACAATTTCATTATACAATTAATAGAAAAGAAATTCCTGAGATTTGTCAAACCCTCATCTCTGTTAATTTTTCCAAGGGTTGTTTCAACAGCACTTGAAGCATTAATACTTGGAGAAACTAAGTCTCTGGCTGCCCAAGCTCCATCCAGAACAGGGCAGCCTGCACTCCAGCCCTGAGAGCTGTGCAGAAATTAGGGATATATCACAGTCATACTCAAAATATGCAACACAAACCATCAACAAGCACTTCTGCACACGATGGATTTTACAGATGTCATCAGTCCTGCTGAAATCAAACCCCAATCACGTATATCCAATTACGCATGGGTGACATTGTCCACAGTATTACTCAATGGTTAGAGCTCTCATTCTTAAGGAAGAACAACTGTATCAAATACAAGTTAGAAAAAAAAGACACTCATGGAGGGTTTAAGACAAATATAGTGCTGAAGCAGCAAAATGCCTGGAGCGAGTTAAGGAGCAGATTTTCCTTAACACTGTGAAGCAGAGTGTCTGATTGAGTCTGCTGTCTGTGACACGCCGGGTGGGAAACACAGGCCTTTCTCCCTTCAATTGCTGCTCAAGGAATAATTGGCGCTTTTAAACATTTGGATAGCTAATTGTCAAAAATAAATTAGTGGGTTTTGTCATTGTTACGCTTATAAGGCTAGAATTAAATACATACAAGTGCTAATTAAAATTAAATCTATCAATAAACATGAATAATGAACCAGAAAATATTTGATGAAAAATAATTTAATTTAGAAAAACAAACCCAAAGCCTGTTTAGTGACTGAACGCTGCATTTTCCAGTGGGGAAAAGTCTGGCTCATATTTAGGGTGGAACGTTACAAAGTTCAGAATTCAGATATTCTTCAAGTACGCTTAAGTGGTTGTTGCTATTTACTAGTTATACCTTAAAAGTGCAATATAGAATCTCACAAAATTTGGCTTATTCTCCAAAGAGGATTCAATGGTACCTAAGAGAAAATGTTAACGTAACAAGTGCCTTATAATTACAATTAAAAAAGAGAGAGATTAACTTTTCAAAAAAAAATAAAGAGGCAATACTTATTGACAATTCTTATAGTCTAAACCAAAATAAATGCTTTTGAGCCTTTCAGAGGCAGTACCTCGATGACGGTGGGTTTGCCCACGCTGTCCACGGTCGGGGAGCCGTAGAGCACCCCATCGCTGTAGGGGGTCCTCTGTATGTAGCGCAGCCACCCGGGCCTGTCGGGGTAACCCATCAGGTTGGTATTAAACGTGATGGGATCATTACTTATTTCACCTAGGTAAAAAAAACTGCATTAGAATACTTGCAAGAAAACACTATACACTGATTTCGATGTTTCTATTAGACAATCTTATTCAGTATTCCAGTGACATCTTCTAACCATTTCCACAAAGAAAACAACAACAATAACGCTATCCTTCCCCACATCAGGAATAGGTGAGCTCCTGCTCAGTACCAGCAAGTACTACGAAATTAATATCTGAAAAGTGCAACCAAGGGCAGAGATGAATGTGCTTGTGCTGCTCAGAGCCTGGCTAACTCCCTGTGCTTGCACTCATTGACTAGGAGAGGGATTTTTTAAAACATTTGGGTTTATTCCTGACAAGATTTAACCAATGCCAACAGAAGCTTATTTTTTCTTTGAGTTTTGAAAACCATACTTCCAAATCAATTCAAAAGCTTATTAGCAAAATAGGTTTGGATTATGCATGCACTGCACATTTATTATAGTTTTTTCCTATTTTTATAGGAAAATAGGGTAGTTATATTTATATAAATAGGATATATTTCTATATTTATTATTCCTTCTCTGTTAGTAAGCACATGGGGCTGAATGTTTCTTTTTCTCCTCCCTCCCCAGATTGCTCACACACATTCTAACATGCCAGTGACCAATGCTCTAGGCTTGTCTTGGGGGTACATCAAACCACCACACTGAGGAAATCACAGCTCTTTCTCTATAAACAAACCACTTACTAACATGAAACTGTTCCTAAGTACAGAAGGAGGCTGAATCCAAAGGAGCCTTTGTTTTAAATGAAAGAAAAGATCATTACGTAGTTTCATATTTGATTTAATCTTTTATTTTGTCTCAAGTTTACGATATGCTTTCAAAGCACTCCTTCCTATAGCCTCATCCACACTACATCTGAAACAGTGATCAGATAAATGGCATTTTTAACAGACATTCCACTTCCACAATTTCATATGTAATGTGAAAAGTGAAGAAAAGTTATATTTCCTAATCCCAGGTATATAATGTGTTATTATGCCTTCCCAAATTATTAAGTATTTTTCCCAATACACAATTATGTGCATCTTTTCACAACTGATCATCACAAAACAGAACATTTTAAACTCGTAGGACCGCTTATTTTATTTCATTTGAAGGTATTTCAATAGAAATTAAAAGTTGTCCTTTACATGTTACACGCTAAACTGTAAGGTACGCTAAATAAACTTGAATTTTTTTAAACATTTTTTTTCCCCTGCATTTTTATATAATATGGAAGATCTTAGCATCCCATACCAGGCTTTGGGTAAGGAGGGAATTCCCCCTTAAAGTACTCTCTCTCCAAAACATGAACAAAGAGAACTCCAGCAGAAGGGTAGACGTTCCGGTCAGAGTGCACCTTAGACAGAATGGTGTACACTGGAAGGCAGAAGGGAAGAAGAGAGACAGAAAACAGCCAAAATGAGACATGCCCTAGAGAACACAGCATGCACTGCAACAGCAGCGTGGGCAATCCAGGGGAAGGAAAACGAGGAATATTAGATACTGTTAATATGGTGGGTTTTTTAAAAGGTTGCAGAGCTTTAGGAAGAGGCCACAGAGCAAAGCCCCTCTCCCATCCCACGCTGCCATGAACGACCCACTGCCCCAGGATTTCAGGACCTGCACCTGCCCTTTGCTTTTACTGCAACAACAACAAAAAAACAAACAAGGGAGGCTACTGTAATTTTATAACTGGTTTATTTGTAACAGTACATAAATAAGAACAGGTTAAATGAACCATACAATCCTGTTTTCTTGCTATTTTACATCAAAATAAGGAACATGAGAACTACAGAGGAACCTTACCAACCAATGGCACCAACTCCCCACTGACTGGAAGTGGCAGATTCTCCAGTTCTCATTCAGAAAAGGACTAAGGAACCCAGTTCAGCTCAGGGTTCCAGTGAGTGCTCAACGTTGGACCTTCTCAGACCAGCAAGTTCAGGTACCATACAGCTAAAAACCTGCCTACAGAGCTTATCACTGAAGATGTGCTTGTATCAAAGGATAAAACAGAGGGACATGGGCAATTACAGCCCAGTCAGGTGTCACCGATTCCAAACAAAAAAATGAAGCCATATTTTACAGGACTCAGAATTAAAAACCTAAAGGAAACTTCATTCAGAACCAGCAGCATATTTAAAAAGCAATATGCTATTTTTTTATGTAATTACAATTTAATTGATAAAAGCAAACCTTATTTATGTATAACGTATTTGACATAGTACTATATACACATTGTGATGAATTAGAATACAAAAATCATTGTGATGCATTGAACGGGTAAGAAACCACTTTATCAACAAGTTTAAAGTACAGCTGGAGAATACTCATCTCATAGATGTCTCTCATGGTGTCTTAACAGGACACGCTGTAGGTCGTACTACTGTTCCACATTATGGTTCAATTTAAGTCAACGCCCTGAATCCTTGCTGACAATTTTTGTCAACGCGGTGAGGATTACACAGGTGGTGAATGGAGATAAGTCCCAGGTACGGGGACACACCGCTACCTGCCGTGCCTGCCAAAGGGGGAAGAGCGACTCCAAAGGAGCCTTCAGAGCCCTCCTAACAAACCCACGGGGATCAACGCTTGCATCAACAAGGAAGATACATTGGAAATGTGGATCCAGCTGGTGTCATCTCCTAATCCTGGTATAATTTCTCCAGCCTTATCACTACACCAACCTTCTTACTGGAGATCCGCTTCAAAAGCCACTGCTAACGAGGCAATAATCACAGCCACTCCAGCTCTCCCACCACGTCCTCAGTGTGGAATCTCTCCCACCTAATTTTAGATGCCTACAGAAACAACATCCACCACCGAGCTAGTCAGGCTCCTTTTATAGTCAGCGGAGAAGAAACAGGCGCTTCTAGGGGTTGATTAATTTGATTTCTCCTGTGAAACGAGATGAATCATGTCCCAGACTCCTGATGGCACGGACTAGATCCCCACCGCCTGCAGAGATTTAGTCTATGTTTAGTTACTTCCCTCTCCTCCAGCCTGATAGTGCACAATTAATAGTCTCAAGCTCTGGATGTTTTATTGATCAAATCCCACAGCAGTCTCTTTCCCCACCTTTGGAAACCGCCTTTAACACAGCACTGAACAGAGTACCTTTCTAATACTTTTACCTAACATAAAAAATTAAAATGAATCTTAAAATTTAAATAGTTTATTACAATTTCATGTGGTTAATAAAACAGTTACTGTAATTTTAATTACGTAGATTTAAGTACAGTAACATAGCTATTTGATTTGTTTATTTTGGGTCATCAATTTACAACTATTAATTACTTTTGCACTCACTTCTGTGAATGAGATGTAAATAGAGCAAGGAAACTCGTCAATTTCCTTTAAGATATTTTCAAGAAAAGCAGAAAAAGTAATTTGTAACCTTAATAGAGCAGAAAAGCTGACAAAAATACGGTGGCTGGCTGAAAATGTATCAAATATCTAGAAACAAAATCCATTTTTCTGTTTCTGATGCTTTGACTCCACAATGAAAATCCATTTCAAACAGGAAAAACAGTGAAAAAGTAATGTATATTTCCTCCAGAAGCAATAGTTTTAGAAATAAAGAAGAATAATAGAATCAGCAGTTACTGAAAAGAAACCCACGTAACATATTTATTTTGTCTGTTAGAGGAAATCTATTGCCACTGCTAAATGCCTGCCCATTCCCAGTAATGAGAAGTTCTGGTACCAGGCAAGATCTCACGCAGACAGAAAACAGGCATCTTGGTGGAAGTCTAAAAATGCCTCTCAGAAGGAAAAAAAAATCCACAAACCTATTTTATCTTATAACAACAAACACATTGTGATGACACAAGTACGGAGATTAAGAATCTGAAAGTTCTTGCCCTCCTTACCAGAGAAGCCCTCCTCTTGTTCCTCAGTGAAAATCAGAAGGAAAATGATGAGTCTTCACCCCACTGTAGCATCACTGCTTTTCAATAACCAAACCAGTAATGTTATTGTCTTCAGAAGCTTTTAAAACCCAGAAATATTTTCATAAACCTCCCTGAGACTGGAGATGAATGTGTCATCATCTGAGGTGATGCAGTGATGACACTGAACGTACTTACCAACTTCTAGCTACTAGTGTGATAGAGCAGCCTGCCAGCTGTGAAGTGCCTGGGCAAATTCCCTGGGGTAGAGAAAAATCTCAGGGAGTGTGAAAGGCTTCTATAAAACTAACCATGGGAAATCAGAACTCTTCACTAGGTAGGGACACAACAGATCCCTGCTAGAAAAAACAGACAATATCAGCTACCTCGACAGCACCGTTTCCTCCTTTCTTGTTCCCAGATCTCCTGGAGGACTTTCTGCAGATCCCAAGATAGATCTGTGCAGAAAGGTTAGAAGCTCTGGAGACTGGGAAAGAAGTGGATTAACTGGGAACTGAAGGCTGGAAAACACACCTTGCTCTTTTTAACCATATAAAGAAACGGTGGCAGTTGTTCTTCTTGAGGGTGTTGAACACGGGCAGAGCCAGGAATTCTAAGATTGTATCAGCCCGTTATCGGGTACGGATCACCCTGGCTCCAGAAAGTTCAGAAGATTTACCATGCTGGTTGAAGCCTGTATGCTGATGATCTTTAGAAAAAAAAAAAATAATCCACCTAGAATTTTTTTCCTGGGAATTTCAGTGGGTTCTCTCCCCATGGATTTTTAGCAGATGAAGCACAATCCCAGAAATAATGTGATTTAGGGGCTGATCCAGATGGCCAGCCTGGATGGGCAACCAGTGCCAGGCCCTTTCTCAGCTAGTGTACACTAGCTAAAATATTCTGTGTGTACCTGCATAAATGACAGTAAAATAGTCTTTTTGCAGACGTTTATGAAAAGATTTTATTATTTTTTTTCAATGTTACAGAGGAGTTATTGTTTTAAGCAAACTGCAGCAGTACCCCAAGCAGCCAGCCGTGGTAAGAACCTGTGCAGCAGCAGGTACACACACAGCCGTTATCCCAAGCAAAGCTACAGGAACAGGAAAAGTTGGGGAAGACTCAAAGACATAGAAGTCTGTGAATGTTTAAAAGACTGAAGAAACGTAACATTTTCCAAATCACTTACCTTGAAATAGCACCTAATTCCTAAAACAAGGACATGACTGAAAAAGCAAGAGTAATATTAAAAGCAGATTTGACTGAACCAACACAGGACTTAAACTTACAACCTAAACTCACCGTTCTTCTCAACAGCCTTTATTCTGCTGATAATATAACTGTGGGCTTGCTTAGTCGTCCAGTTAACTGTTCCATTATTGCCATCAGCAGAGCTTAACAAAAAAGCTTTTCAGAATAAAACAAATGCAAAAAAAAAATAAAATTAGTCATATCAACAGACTCCCACAACCCAAGTACCAGAAGGGATCAGATGCTTTCGAAATCTGGTTTTGGCTTTAGTCAGAGTTTAGGTACCTCAGGTTAAGAACCTGGTGGTGTTTGAGTATGTCAACATACACTAATCTGACAGTTACCTTTTTGACTTATTTTCCAAATAAGCTAAATTTACACTAAACGCTTAAACTTCTGCAGACAGAATTACACTGATAATAAAGAGCATTCTCTGATTTTGCACTGGCAAAACCTCATATACAGAGAAAGACGTATCTAAAGTTACTTTCACTGGCGTAGTACATTTTGGCCAAAGTAAATATAACCAAGAGCACAGCTTTGCTTATATTGAAGAGCATTCTTGGATAAATATATTTGCACTGGTAAAACCTCATATACAGGGAAAGACGTATCTGAAGTTACTTTCACTGGCATAGTACATTTTGGGCAAAGGAGGGAAGGTAATATAACCAAGAGCACAGCTTTGCTTATATGAAGATGCTTTGCTTACATGAAGACACATGGGCCTGATGGCCTTGCCTTGCCAGCACAACCAATAAGCAATTTTGGAAAAAGAACCAGTAAGAATGGTTGTCTTCATCCCACACAGCCAGAACACAGCTGGGAAACAGCGGGATCAGCACAGCTGGAGGTGCAGGAAGGTTTAAAGGCGGTGAGGAGTAAATGATGAGAGGAGCAGCCATGGAGGGGGCTGGAAGACTCCCCTTCCCCAGCAGGGGAACCCCCTGGGAACTTCCCCCATCACCTCCCACTTTCTGATCTTTTCTTCCCTTTCTCCTGTATCCATAGCTGACACATCAGCTGTTTGTATGTCACTTGCCAACTGAGAGGGGAGAGGGAAGGCACTGCAGTCAGAGGGTGGGAAAGGGAAAGCGGCCATAATAAATAGTCTTCCCTTTGAAATAGTTTGTGAGTGAAATCTCGTCAAAGCCCAGTGCCCGGGTGCTGCTGGATTAGCATCTCAAGAGCTGTGTACAAACAGCTGTGTCAGAAACAAACAAGGAGCAGTACCTGTGGTGAGATACACCGCTCTGCAGGGACAAACACTTACTGGCAAATACTCAAGGTACGCAAATATTATTTACACTGGAAGCTTAAACATCCCTGGAAACTTCTGCTGCCGGTTACACCAGTCAGCCACCCCCTTACTGGTGCTGCACTCGCCAAACCCAATTCAGGAGGCCCAACAGATCTGTCTTAAGCAGTACTCAAGATACAAAAGGACTCCATCTAAATATTATTTACACTGGAAGCTTAAACATCCCTGGAAACTTCTGCTGCCGGTTACACCAGTCAGCCACCCCCTTACTGGTGCTGCACTCGCCAAACCCAATTCAGGAGGCCCAACAGATCTGTCTTAAGCAGTACTCAAGATACAAAAGGACTCCATCTGTGTGTCTGAGCGAAACGTTTATTAATGATCATTTATGCAAAACACCTAAAATTGAATTGAGGGTAAGATGAAGTGTAATAAAAAATTACGCATTCAAATTACCATACCAACACGATACCACTTCTAAATTATGAATTTGTTAGGCTTCTTTAGATTTTCAATACAAACAAAGGATCTGATCTTTAAGGTCCCTTCCAACCCAAACCGTTCTATGATTCCATGAAAAAGGTATTATTCACATCCACTGGTTTGCACCTGTCTTGCAAGACAGACAACTTTCTGCCTGCTGAACTGACCTGCACACATTGCAAGTCTTACTGTAATCTCATCCGAGGGATCCAACCCAGTCCTGCATATGACCTTCACTGTACATTTTCTACAATTCTTCAAGCACTCAAGAAATTCCAAAAAGGTAAAATAAAGTTGTTCCAGTATTGCAACAGGATACGCTGGGCAATCAGAGGCTTGTCAGCTAAAAACCACCAAGCAAAACGATTAGTACAAGATTTGATTACTGAATTATTAAATGGAGAAGATTATTGTACATATCACGATGAACAAGGATTTAATGCATCTTTCCAGACACTTTTGATGAGCCCACAAGTTTTTTCTGATAAAGACATCAATAACGACATGTTACCTGTAGATATACAGCATATCACCTAGCACTTTGACTGAGAAACCAGATACAAAATCATTCTAGCATACTTAAATGGAATTAAAAGAAAAAAAAAAAAAGATAGGTTCCAAGATGTATTTTTTAATATAAATGATCAGTAAGTGCCTTTGATTTGAGTTCACAAGTTGTGCTCAGTTCAGCTGTGGGCATTAAGGAGGTTCCCTGCCACGTCTCCATCCTACGCTGCATTTCACAGGGGAACTGGAAAAGCACCCGGTGTGTCTGTTTGCAGGTCCTGGAGCTTACAGTCTGATGTTCTAATATAAACACACATTAAAATCTATTTGATGACAAAGGACAGGTGTGAAATGAAACACTCCAGGAGCACACTGCCCACTGAACAGCCTTCACCGCAAGCAAGGGAATAGGGCTACTGGGCAGTTAATTTGTTATATGAGATTTCTGATGGGCCTCACAAGGTTCTGGCATTGGCCTCATGCAATTTGACTTTATATACATATATATAATGTACATATATTGTGTGCATATATATATATACACACACATATATATATAAATGACCTGGATGTATGATGTATACTGATAAAGTCTGCAGGTAAAACTGAAAGCTAGCAGACTGACAAATAATGGAGATGACATGCTGCTAACCCAGAACAGCCTGCATTGTCTGCTAACAAGGTGATCAGTGCCGGGCACTTCAACAGAATTAAATCTGAATGCAGACCCAGGCAGAAAGGCGGCCCGGCATACACACACCATGCACCTCACAGATGCTGAACTTTGGTAAAAAACGGGGACATACGTGAGG